CCGGAATTCTATGGAGAACATTTGTTGCATTGATGGAAATGACATCAACATATTTAAATCGATTAAATTAGCGAAAAATGCCTTACAAATGACGGGAAAGGGTACGCCACGCGTTGCCCATTTGCGCAAGCAGCTGGTATTTAAATATATTGTTATATGCAGTATTCATACGGTTTATTTGTAGATTACTTTCGTGATTCATAATATTTTCAGAATTTTTGCTTTAACTGCAAATCTATTCAGAGAAAATAATTCGAACATCGGTCTGGTGGTCTACTTCGCTTTGTTGTCGGATAACCACAATGCTAATTCAGAGGCAATGACGAACTGTTACCGGCGTGCGTAGAGTAAAGGGGTTGTATACTATCTGGTTCACATCTTGAAGACATGGGGGAGGGGATATAGTCATCAGTCTATAGACTACGCGAATGACTCTCAGATCACGTTCGCACACGCGGCAGGTACTGTGACCGGAGGGCCAAGAGTGAACAAAATTCGTGAGAAAGTTGAAATTTGGTTGCCTTAAAGGCATTGGTATGTCTTAAATGTTTTATTGCCAATTTACGTTTAAGCTAAAAAAACATACAAATCTCTTTGTTAAACAGACTTAGCCCATCTTACAAAAATTTAAAATTTACTAACTTGTCCTCCGCGAAACTGGCTGCTTTCGAGTATATACAAAAGAAAGTACAGGATGTCTCAAAATAATTAGAAACTTTTTGAGCATATAATGAGTCGAATTTATAACTTCTTTGCAGTGAACGTGCAGTGGAATATTTCATATTACGAAGTTTATGTGTATAATTGTGAGTGTCTTTAATCCTTTAATACAACTTAGTTTTCTAGTTTCTGTTAAGACGTTTATCACGCAAAGGATGATCATTATTCTTTTAGGTTCCAGGTTTGACTTTCAATTTAAAGTAAATCTGAAAATTTATGTAAATAACCGTTTGTATTTCACTATATTAACTTTAAATAATGCAGCAGCTTCAAAAAAAGTTGAAAAGAACAAGAGATTGTCCCGTCTTTTGTGACGAGAATGGAACGAATGTGTTTGAGTGACATTTCGTCAGTCATTGGTCTTTTCTCGCAAGTTCCCCATTTGGTCTTTACATATTTTTTCAGCTTCACTTTATATATATATATATATATATATATATATATATATATATATATATATATATATATATATATATTAACCTATTTTTAAGTGGTCCAACTACAAACCTAAACTAGTGGTGCTAAAACAGCACGTACTTTCACGCAAAATTACATGAAAAATACTAATTTTTTACAAAATTATACATTACCTTATTTCAAAATCTACTTTTAAGAATAAGATATCATTTAGCGAAATGTTTTTTGCAATTTAAAAAATTCAGTTTTCAACAAAAATGAGACCTGGACCATCCTCTTAAACATTAGTTATCCAACAACAAAATTGAATAAAAAACAATGGAGCCATTTTTTTAATTTTAAAAATATCCAAAGGGCTTCATGTAAAAGCACCCCCAAAATTAAAATGTTTCAAATTCAAAGGGCCAGATTGATTGGGGAATATCAGAATTGGAGAAAATCGGCGGAACGGTTTAGCCGCTAGCGTTGTTGACGGGCAGACAGACATTTTGGTTGTAAACACATAGCAAAACATGTCAATGAGGAAGGTTGAAAAAAAGGTTTTGTAATAGAAGTTAGTGCAACCAATGAAATAATTGTAAGGATATATAATAATAATTATAATTATATTAAAATTGTATGAATATATACATTATAATATATTTAATAATAGAATATTGTTCAAATACAATATTAATAAATATATTAATTATAATTACAAGATAAAAAGAACTATATTAATTATTAAGCACGCAATGGTGTATGACGAATACACAAAATCTCTGACTGCGTCTGAAAGCTTCAGAGTGTAGGAAATCGAAAGATAATGTGATTTTACAGTATTTTTATAAAATTTGGCGCTTCACGATTTTTGCCTTTTTCGAGCAATTGTAGTATTAGAATAAATCTTGTATTGGAACAAAGAGAAAATTAGAAAGTGAGGAAAGTTCCAGTACTCGCGTAGTGACGAAGTGGAGGTTGGAAACAACATACGGCTTGTTTACACTTTTCGCGGTACAGTCTGTGTTCACGTAACGTGATACATCATCCGCCCGATGTTGCGATATCAACATTCCTGCACTATATTTTAAAATATCCATAATGAGTTAATACTGTTATCACATATCACATCGTATGGGAAAAAACCTCTCCTATTTATTCATCGGAGGATTGAGGACCGCATGAGTGGAGACACGTATTAGCGCCACCTGTTGCATCTCTTCGCCCGCCCGCCCCCACTCCCACCAAGACTGTGGCGAGGACCGTCGAGTGACGCACCGCGTCGCAGTCCCATTATGCAAGACGGCGGGGCCTCCGCCGCGCTGGGCGGAACTTCGCCCCCGCTCGCCCGCACGTGACCGCCCGCTCACGTTACGTGACATGACGCGTCGGATCGCGTCGCTGCGATTTCGTCACGCACCCAGCCGGCCTGCGCTTTCCGACGCCGCCGCAGCCGCGCCCCGCCCAGCCAGCCCCGCGCATAAACGCAGGTTGGCGCAAGGACTAGTGCCATCGTCCAGGGTGTGAATGGGCAATTAGTCTAGAGAGAGACATTGAAATCTTCACGGAAAAGCGATCGCAGAATGAATACTGTAACGAATACCACCTTTGCTTCCGCAACACAGTTCGATTAATCCTAATAATGCTCTCGAGAACGTTTTCTTGTTCAATTTCTGTCACTTGAATTCATGAAAAATCTTCAAACCAAAGAAATCACACAGATGGTACCTAAAATGCATTAATCCTGTCTCTGGCAAGGACACAATACTTCTCCAACAGGGGACATCCAACTCTCTAGAAGAGACAATTCCAGCCACTCCCACTCCCCCAATTTCAACAACAAAAAACAAACAATAATAACAACTCTACTTTAAAAGAACATTTATTAAAGTTGTAGGAAGTTTACTTTTCCACGTATTGAAATTTCACGAAAGTTTTTGGAATGGAAAACATAGAAGCTGAATTAGCAGTGGGATTCATCTATTACGAATGGATTGAACTTCCATTTGCACAAATTAAAGTATTTTCCTGTATAATTTTGGTTGTAATGTGGCAGTTTTGATAGCATATTCTTTGTACGGTTCTCAACATCTAACTTTGCATACTGATTCCCCAATCTTTCAAAATGTGTGTAATTTCTGCTTGTGCTGTCAATTTGTATATTCTTTCTTCACAAAATTCGTGAATTTACTTCCACACACTTTCTGTTTCTTTTGCCGTTTTTCGGCACTGAATCCTTAATAATAGTATCATTTTCAGAGTTTGAAACATTACCCAAACACTCATTTTAATATTATATTGATGCTCGCTTGCTAAACATTTGCTGGACACAAAAAATTGGTAATTGGCATTGACGACATCTCAGATTTAGATTTATTGAGTCAAAAAAACAGTAAAAACTGTGTGTCACCTATGGGGAAG